CAATACATTGGTTAAATTAATTCCTATTCTTATGTAGTTCTTTCCTGTATATCCTTAACAAGAAATAGCAACTATTTGGACATGAAGATAGTTCAGTCATAGTTTAAGGGGAACAGCTTTTACTGTCAATCAGGTATCATAATGTACACACAAGGCTACAGCAGAAAAAGTTTGTATTTATTATTAACGGTTGACTATTACCACTTCCACCAGATCCTGTTTGTTCGTACAGAGCTGTACATGTATATTTAAGCTCAGTCTCTACAGTACAGAGCCGTCGCAATTTCTATGAAACTAAGTTATGTATAATCTTCCATTAGTTGTCACGAATTGATGTTCTAAAAGATAGCATCGATTGTGCTTTCAGATATCGAACCAGCCGCTCTGGCCTCAGAATGTGCGTTTCTTTAAGTTGATGGAAGTGCTTGATTGATGTATTCGGTGTCGTTCTGCCATGTGCCGACGTCGTCTTTCAAGTGGATAGAAGGTTGTTCGTCAAGACTGATATGGACACTGCATATGCTTTGCCATGGGTGCGGGAGGTGTACTTTGAAGTAGCACCATTCTTCTGTGTCACAGTCTTGTTTTCATATCGTTACTTCTTTACGGAAGACTGATGTGCTACCCATCTGGCGCAGAAGTTTCCAAGAATTCAGGGTCTATTTCATGACCATTCAATTTCGCCGGGGAACTCTAGTGGATAGTTGCAGTTGGCAGCGTAGCTCCAAACAATCAATAATTATTTGATGCTAGTAACAACTACAGGCAGTCCAGAAACGTTTTTTTGGCTTATTTTTCGTTTTTACTCAATCAAAGCCCAATCCACACAAGAAATCACATCTCGAGCATCAAGGTCAGACCGACTTGTCTCTGTCCTGTCGCGCGATAAATCGATGAACGCTAATAAGCCAAAAAATGGCCACTCCATTCTCGGTAGCGTTCTTCTGACGAACGCTATTTCAATAATTAAGTTTTTGGATAAAAAGTGTCTACTCAAATTTTAATGGTAAGTCAGTTTTAGTCGTCTACTATTTATGTGCCTGACTGTGTGCACCCCATCTGTGATCCCTACTTTCTCTCTTTGTTTAGCCGTGACAGTGAACGAGCCCAAAGCCACCGTCCCTAAGGCTGAGGAAATCGCCCATAATCAGTCCTCAGAAACTGATCCAGAGGAAGTTAAACGTCTTCTTCGGGCAGAAAATAAGCGACTGCGACAGATTAACGAATTGGAGGAAAGACAGAAGAAGGGTGAAAAGCTGAATGCTGACCAGCTCGCCAAGTTGCAGCGGCGCGCTGAAGTGGAGGCTTTAATTGAAAAACTGAGCAACCTTGCTGCATCTTAGCCCCCTGCTTTTGACTTCTGCCTGCCAGGCCTGTGTACAGTTTGCTTATCTTTGCTTGAGGAAGAAGGAAGGTCGAGCACCGGATCAAGTTGTTTATTATTC